AGAGGAAAAATCCATGCTGCGCTCGAGTCTGTGCCTTCGTGAAGAAGTCAGCCAACTGTAACTCAGAGGGCACATAGTGAAAAGCGAGAGTCTGATCTTGCACAGCAGCACGCACAAAGTGGGCATCCACACCGATGTGCTTGGTGAGCTCATGCTTCACCGGGTCACGCGCGATACTGATAGCACCGGTACTGTCGGACAGGAGAGGAGTGGAGGTAGTAGCAGACACACCAAAATCCTCAAGTAACCACCGTAACCAGATCACCTCAGCCGTCAACATAGCCATGGCTCGCAGCTCAGCCTCTGTACTCGAGAAACTGCAGTCTGTTTCTTTGTCTTCCATGCAATAAGAGAGCCACCAAGAAAAACACAGTAAGCAGACAGCGAGCGTCGATCAGAGGGATCACTAGCCTAGGTAGCATCAGAGTAGGCCTGGAGCTCAAGAGAGCTGGAGCAGGGAAAGAAAAGGCGCTGAGAGATCGTGCCACGAAGATATCGTAGAACACGAAGGAGGTGACTATAGTGGACAGAGGTGGGAGCTGAAACAAACTGACTCAGGATGTGGACAGGATAGGAGATGTCAGGACGCGTAACAGCAAGGTAGACAAGGCTGCCAACAAGGTGACGATAGCGAGTGGGATTAGGAAGAGGGTCACCATCAGAGGCACGAAGCTGAACGTTGAGCTCCATAGGAGTTACAACGGTGCGCTCATCACCAAGAGCAGCGCGAGCAAGAAGATCCTGAATATATTTTTCTTGAGAGATGTAGAAGCCATCAGGGGTCGAGGAGATCTCAATCCCAAGAAAATAGCGAAGAGGACCAAGATCAGTCATGAGGAACTGGTCTCGAAGGGGAGCCTTAACAAAAGCAATGTACTCAGAGTCGTCACCAGTGATGATCATGTCATCAACATAGAGAAGGAGAAGATTCCGACCACGAGGAGACGTGTGAACAAACAACGCAGGATCATGATTACTGGGCAAGAAACCAGCCGCAGTCACCACAGAGGCGAAGCGCTCAAACCAGGCGCGAGGGGCCTGTTTGAGACCATAGAGGGAGCGGCGAAGTCTACAGACCATACCATCAGGAGCATAGTACCCCGGTGGTGGCTGCATATAGACCTCCTCACGCAACTCGCCATTGAGAAAAGCGTTCTGAACATCAAGTTGAGAGATAGACCACTGACGAACAGAAGCCACAGCAAGAAGAGTGCGGACAGTGGTCATGTGGGCCACAGGAGCGATCGTCTCATCATAATCATGCCCCTGCTCCTATTGAAAACCACGGGCCACAAGACGAGCTTTGTAGCGCTCAAGAGAACCATCGGAGCGAATCTTAATCTTGTAGACCCACTTGCAGGTGATGGGACGGACACCGGAAGGAAGGGGAACCAGATCCCATGTGCCAGAGCGCTCAAGAGCAGCAAGCTCTTCAGCCATCGCCAGCTGCCATTCAGGTTGAGTCATGGCAGTTCGATAGGAAGTGGGCTCAGCAAGAACAGAGAGACCGTACCGATCAGGGGAGTAGCGATCAGGCGGGGGGCGAGGCCGAGCACGGAGGTTGTGAACCGGGGGAGGCGTGAGAGGAGGTGCACCAGAGGTGAAAGGCTTGTCAGAGGAGACATCCTCAGTACGAGATCGGCGAGTATAGTGGAGAGGAAACGGTGAGAGAGGGCGCCGAATGGGAGATGCTGGTGGAGAAGTGGAGGAGGATGGTGAAGACGGGGTCGGTGGTGAATGAGAAGGGATGAGAGGTGCCGGAGGAAGAGGTGACACATGAGGCACATAACAGGATGTATCAGGAAGGAGAAGGAAAGAAAGGTCATCCACAGAGAGACTCGAGGAAGAAGAACGTGGGTAGTAAGAACGAGACTCGTCGAAAGTCACATCACGCGAGATGCGCAAGCGACGACCCACAGGATCCCAACATCGATATCCCTTGTGCTCATCACTGTAGCCAAGGAAAACACACTCAACCGACTGAGCAGTCAGTTTGGTGCGTTCTCGGGGGGCAAGAAGAACATAGCACACGCATCCAAACATACGAAGAGCTGAGTAGTCAGGGGAGCGACCAGTGAGACACTTCATAGGAATAGCACCCTGCAGAGCAGATGATGGCTGAATGTTGATGAGATAGGTGGATGCGGAAACAACCTCCGCCCAAAAGTGGGGTGGAAGGGAAGCAGCAATCATCAACGCACGAGCCGTCTCAAGCAAATGACGATGCTTTCGTTCGGCAACGCCATTCTGAGCATGAGGACCAGGACAAGGAACTGGGCAAGAGTACCCTGTTCCGCGAGAAAACCACGCAACAGCTGAGAGATATACTCTCCAACGGAGTCAGCATGAAAAGTACGAATGGGCATGGCAAACTGGGTGTGAACCATGGCAGCAAACCGTTTGTATATAGGGAGAACTTCGCTACGAGATTTCATGAAGTAGAGCCAAGTGTAGCAAGAGAAATCATCAATAAACAAAACATAGTAGCGATGGCCACCTTTGGAATCAAAGGGAGCAGGACCCCAGATATCAGAATGAACTAAGTCAAAAGGACGCTGAGATACAGACTCACTAGTAGGATAAGGTAACTGAGTCTGTTTGCCAAGTCTGCAACCATTACAATGTAAGGAGACATCTCCAGATACAGACCCTAAGAGGCCCTGACGAACTAAAGAAGATAAGCGAGAGCCACGGATGTGACCAAGGCGGTGATGCCACTGCTGGAAGGACGCAGACGAAGAGACAGCAAAAGCATGAAAGCTGGCAGAAGTGGTGGCAGCGGAAGGAACACGAAGCCAGTCAACCTCTCAAAGGCCCTCCGACTCACGGCGCCGAGGGCCAGCACCAACCAAAGCCTTGGTGCGACGATCCTGAATGGAGCAAGAGTCGGTATCAAGAATGACACGACAACCAGAATCAGTAAGTTGGGCAGCGGAAAAAAGATTCATGGTAAGGCGAGGAACATGAGAAACACTCGGAACAGAAAAGGACGGAGTGGAAAGAATACCACGGCTAGCAACAGGAAGAGATGTGCCATCGGCAGTAAGAACATTAACAGGTGAATCAAGAGGTCGGAGAGAGGACAACTCAGAAGAATTAGAAGACATATGAAAGGAGGCTCCAGAATCCAGAACCCACGGAGATGTACCTGACTGTGTAGATGCCGGTGGTGGTGAGGAAGAGGATGCAGTCACAGCAGCAACAGTCGACGAGAAGCCTAAGGAAGTAAGAAGGCGCTTGAGGCGAACAATGTCCTGGTCAGTGAGTGACGGAGTCGAGGAAGACACGGGAGTCCCGCTGGAGGAGGAGCGTCTCTGATCTCGCTTCTTCTGACGACAATCAGACTCTGGGTGACCTGGCCGGGAGCAGTAACCACAGACGGTGTCACGGCGCGACGTGCCCTTCTCAGCATAAGGAGGACGGCTCATCCCCCCTGGCAGAGTAGGCAGGAGCGGCGGAGCAGTGAGGCGAGCAGACGACACAGGGGCTCGGGCAGCCAGAACTGACGGAACCAGAAGCAAACCAGCAGAGCAAAGGCGGGTCTCTTCAGCACGAAGCTCAGCGAGTATCTCGGAGATAGGAATGCGACCACGAGCAAGCATAGCACGGCGAGGCTCAAACTCAGACCGGAGACGAGATAAGAACTCATGGACCCGCTGAAAGTCCAGATCAGCCCGAGTAGTCTGACAGCAACGACAGGTTCCACAAACAACTGTCCGAAGAGAGTCAAGCTGGCGCCAGATGGCAGAGCACTGTGAATAGAGCTCATCAACAGAAGAATCACCTTGCTGGAGTGCATGCTCCTGGCGCATCACAGATAGGTAGAGAGCATCACCAGAGGGCTGATAGCGCTGACAAAGATAAGACCACATAGCTGCAACTGTGCCAAGTCCCATGAACTCGGAAGCAAACTGAGGAAGGACACTCGCAGTGAGAACAGCAGCAGCTCGAGCATCATCATTGCACCACTGAGTGTAAGCAGACAGATCATCCCGGTACACAGAGAGAGCATCGGAATAAGCGGATACTTGCTGATCATAAGCATCAACCGCAGCATCATCCAGAGCCTTGGCAGCATCCCGACCAGCCTGAGAAGCATTTGCAGCAAGGACCGGCGACACCGGTGGGATTGGGGCCACGTGCGCAACAGGGCATGGCGGACAGGGGACCTCGCCAGAAAGAACACCCCACAGAAGAAGACCACGCATATGAATGCACATGAAGCCTACAAACTCAGCATAGTTGGTGCCATCAAAGATCACCGAACACCGCGGAACAGCGACATAGCCCGAAGAAGACATAGCAAGGTCTTCTTTTGCTTGCTCTGTTCAGCCTCTCCTTTTTTTGGTCGATGCACTGGAGATGCCCTGGATCGGGCTGGAGGACGAACGAGGCAGCCCCGCTCGAGCAGGAGCGCGAAGGCGGGTGGCCTGGCTCCGCACGACCCAAAGAAGGGGCCGGCGACCTGGCCTGGCTCGAGAGGAAAACGAGCGGGCGGGGCGGGCTCGATCTGGCGCGAAAGGAACCAGCGAGCGGGGCGAAGAACGAGCGGACGGGGCGGCCTTGATCTGGCGCGAGAGGAACCAGCAAGCGGGCGGAGAACGAGCGGGCGGGGCGGCCTCGCGCGAGAGGAACGAGCGGGCAGGAGCGGCCGCGCTCGAGAGGAACGGGCGGGCGGGGCAGCCGCACTCGGACGGAAGCGGGACGAGCGGCCGCGCTCGAGAGAAACGAGCGGGCGGGGCAGCCGCACTCGATCTGGAGTAGGACGAGCGGGCGGGGCTTGATCCGGCGCCGGATCCGGCTAGCCAGCGACGGGATGGGCTGGAACGGCAGGATTCGAGGGAAGCTAGGTGGGGGGCGCACGGAGTTGCGGCGTGCGAGAGAGCGGAGCTAACCTAGCATCTGATACCATGTTAGATAAGTGAGCAACTAACTCTTTACTGAGGGCCAAGGGCCAGTACATATACATGTGTGGCAAAGTGCAGAAAAGCCCCTTATGCAATGGGGATGTACAGAATGAACTATACACATCTAACACAAATTACAAGCAGATTGGTGTCTTGGTGAGGTCTACCCAGTTTTCAGCATTGAGAAATCCAAAGTTTCTTAATCAGCGACAATTAATATGGATAGGAGGGACTTTTTTTTCCCTTTATGTGGGTGTAGTTTTGTGACATTATTCAGATGACTAAGGACGAATTGTTGGTAAATTAGACAAGTGGAAGGGGAGATGCAAACTTCATTTTGTCCTTTTTATTCACTGATAATTTTATGAAGTTGTTCTTACTTTGTCCTTATAAGGTGTGCAATGGTATAGAGAACACTGTCAATAAGTGATAGTTGCCACAAAGAAGAATTAGAATAAGGAGGCATTGAAAAAATGTTGAGGAGAGCAAGAAGGGTAGTAGTAACTGCCAGAACCTATTAGAAACAGTTAGAATACTGGTACTAACTTGGATTTCCACTGAATAGAACTAATGCAATCTTTTAATCTGCACGAGAACAGGTACCAGAATATGTTGGAGGCATATAAGAATGCCAGAACCCCACCGAGAACACCGGAAGAGGCTGCACAACTAGTTGTATCAGCCCTAAACTGGATCCAGAGAGCTGATTTGGAGGTAACTTGTTTCTTCCTTTTTTTAGATCCTACATAGTTCAGGTGAGCATAGGAATAATGCATTGACTAATACGGACTTGTATGTTTGGACTGTGGAACCTGTAAGCCCAAGTTTGCAAAAAATGTTAAAAGTTAAGGTTTATGCTTTTATGTTACTAGTTTTTTTTCCTTCTTATAGGAACCAAAACCATAAACCCAGGAAACCCACTGATGTAATATTTGGTTGTTACACGTGACTATGAGCATGCTTGGATACGTTTTAGTCCCATGACTAAAAGTAGTGGGACTAAAACTTGCTAGTCTCACCCATGCTTGGATCCAAGTACTAAAGAGACTAAAATTTAGTTATTGAGCATTTATTATCCTCCAAACCCTCCAATCCAGAACTAAGGAGAGGAATTAAATGAGGAGAGAGAGAGCTAATACATATTTTAGTAGGTTTCCCATGACTAAAAGATTTTAGCCTCAAGACTAGTCCTAGCCTCTCTTTAGTCAGGGGTGCTTGGAACTTTAGCCTCTAAAAGAGACTATTTTTAGTCAGACTAAAAATAGTCCCTTGTATCCAAGCACCCTCTATATATGTTCAACTCAATCCTCCAGAAACATTTTTTTTCCTCAGGGTATCCTCGAGTTCTACAACTTCCCCATCCCATCGCTACCTGCAGCATCCTCAAACCACCGTCCATCCTCGCTGCCAGAGGGTGTGCAGTTTGTCTTGAACACTTTACCGGTCAGATGTGATCATTTATTCTGAAATAGGCTTATCACCAGCATAAAAGTATTGAAAGACTGGTTATGCCGGTCTGCATAAAAGTATTCTCACAGGTCACTGTCTCACTCGTGTTCTCAGGTTCATAACCAAAACATTGGAGATGGCGATGGCTTTACCGCTTATGTTGCCACAACCGATCCGAGGGAGTCTGGGAATGTTCCTATAGAAGTACATGAGATGGTGATTGCGAGGACTGAAGCACGCAATCGTAGGGATTACAAGAGTGCCGATGCACTTCAAAGTAGACTTAAAGAAGCTGGATACAAGTATAAAAACTGAACCATTACACATTTCGGTTCTTAATATTATACTCCAAAAGTAATTTTTTTCATAAATGAGCACACCATGTTTTTTTTCCAATATTTGGATCCACTTATATTGGATTCCAAAAGTATTAAAATACTAGATTTTTTTCTTTGAACTAAGACACATTCTGAATTCACTTTGTCCATTCAAACTAGTACTAGAATGGTTTTACTACATTATTTGAAGTTTTTTCTGTTGTAAAACAGCATGCATACCTATTTTAGTACTACAAAAAAATTAGTGCAGTCACTGAAAATAAGAAGAAACATATTTATAGCATAATATTTTAAAACCTTCCTGTGACCAGTTGGCACTTGTGTACCAATAGTCTGGAACACAACAGGCTTGTGTCAGTTTTATTTGGCGCTTGCTTTGATCTAATCATGTGAACGCGCATTCACTTGTTTTACTTTGGAATGGCATGAAAGCATAGCTTAGTACTAATATTTTTTATGAACAGGATAATCGTCTGTTCAGACGAAGAGATCCTAGCAAGGAAATACCGAATCAGAATGAGGTATTTGTTGCTCAAGATTATACATTATATTCCACAAATAAAATAATCGAAATACTTATGTGAAGTGTATGATCTTTCATGAGTTAAAAGGGGAATTGATGCACCAGAGCTTAAGATGACATATGGGAAGGAATCAAAGAGTGCTTTGGTGAAGCTCATTGGTGGGAAAAGAACCACAATTCATGTGTATGGGCAGGACCAGTTTGATCGCTACGTTGGTGATGTCTATTGCAATGGTGTGTTCATCCAGGTGAAACAAGCACCAAAGACATGCCTTCGACCAATTTAATTGCTTTGTTCTGATGAAATTGACTGTGTGTGTATGTATCTGGGTCCTTCAGGAGAAAATGCTGAAGAATGGTCACGCATGGCATTTTACGACCTACGACAAGCGCCCAGAGTTTGCTAAAGTAAGAAAAAAAGATTAGAAAGAGATTGGTGCCCTCACCTTACATGGTTATGCCTGCTGATTTTTTGACTTGCTCTGTGATGGATGGTGCAGTGGGAGAGAGAGGCAAGAGCTGCACAGCGAGGGCTCTTTGCCTCACTCAACCCTGAGAAGCCGTGGGACTGGCGAAGAGAGCAGCGCAACGGTGGCATTCAGGTCTACTAATGGCTCCATCCATGTCTCGAACTAATGGTCAGAAAGGTGCGTATAGTTTGGTAACTAGGGTGGACAGCATCACCATGCTGCAAACTAAATGTGCAGTATGTTTATGTATGCCGTGAGAGTAATGCTTTCTAATTCGGCCTATGGCCAAGACTCCTAAACCTTCTTCTTAATCAATGAAAATGGCAAATCTTTTCAAGTTGCATGCAGGGTCCCAAATCCAGCAATCTCTTTGCTGCTTTCACCAAAAGGTCCAAATAGATCTATCAGTGCCAAGAATGACTACCACTGAACCTGCATTAACAATAATCCGGTGATGACATCAAAACGAAGAGACATGCATGCATCACAAACCTCAGTTTCTTTTCTTAGTAATCTCTTAAAAATTCTAGGCCAAAAAGAAAAAAAGAAAAAACTAGCTGGCAGGACTAACAATCCTCACTACACATATTTGCAAATTGCATCGCTCCACACTAGCTGCACAGCCACCTATGCATATTCAGGTTCCACTTCTTTCAAGATCAACACATTAATAAACATTCCAAGGCTACCCCTACCACACTACCATTCGTTCTGTGGTCGAAGAGTTGGATGAATATGATCTCAACCCATTCCTGCCATATCCACAAAATGATCATGTCTCAAGGTCCTGGTTTGTTTGCACCATTACTCGGTGGGTCCACCTTCAGGTCTGCAGCATCTACATTAGGCTGCACTGGTGCTGTGAATCATGCTTCATGGTTCTAGCTTTCCTGACATTGTGAGGCGTTGCAGTCTCACCGAGTAGCTCCTGGTTTATGCATCCAGCTTCCTTATTAGATCGCGCCATTCCAGAATCTCTGGGCGGCTCCTATTCTACGCTTCTAGCTTTGTTAGTACGTTGCAGCATTGCAGTGTCACTGCCCGGCACATGTTTTACTCTTCTAGTTTCGTGATCAGGTGGCAGCATCACAATGTCACTGCCTTGCACATGTTCTACTCTTCTATCTAACTCATCAGGTTTCAGCACTGCAATGCCTGACTCCTGTTCTGCTCTTCTAGCTTCCTTACTAGGTTGCAGCATTACAACGTCGCTGCCTGGCTCCTGTACTACTCTTCTAGCTTCCTTACTAGGTTCCTCATCATCTTTCAGCATTACGGTGTCGCTGGATGGCTCCTGTGTTGATTGTTGGATGCATCCGGACACTGGGTTAATGACATCTCCAGCCATTTTTCCTTCATTCTTTTCCACATCAACTGCTTGGCGATTCCTTTTCATGAACTTCCTCTTGTTCCATTTCTTCTTGAAACCGCCTTTCTTCACCTCAAGTGGTTTTGGGATTTCAATTGGCTTTTTCGCGGTCTCCTTAACTTGCCTTTTGCCAGGAACTACAATATGCTTTGTGGCACCACTTCCGCGACCCTCTAGTTGACCTGCACAAAACAGAGCCCGTGCATGATCGAGTGTCCAGCCCAGCACACACGAGGAAGAAATCGATGCAATTTCACAAAAACGTACATCTAAAAGAAGAATACGAGATACCTTGTGTTGCAAGAAGAGCAGTTCGGGCTCCTTTTATCTCTGCCTCTTTCTTTGACCTGGCTGCAGGACCAATGTATTGTATACCACCAATCTCTACGGTGCATGTAAAAGGAGCTATCCCTGAAGCTTGTCTGGTCAAGCTATAAGATGGAATGTAATTCATCTTCTGAGCATACTCCTGAAGAAGATTCTTGCAGAGGCCAGTTTCTAGCTGAAAACCATAGTAACAAGTGTGGATTAGAATGCTATTTTAACTAAGCCATTCTATTACTTGTGAACTAAGCATATTCCACGATAACATGTACTGTGAGGTATGCATCTGCAATTAAAGAACCAGGGGCTTGAATAAATACAAGCCAATAGAGAGTAGAATGATATCAGACTTGGGCAAAGCCACATTGAAGTGGAAGAGAAAAGCTTACATATCCACATGCAACATTATGGTCAAATTAGCAGACATTACTCAAAGGCTGATAACACCAAGGAGCAAAGATGCTATCAGTGTTCATGTAACGCATTGCACGAAGACTTCACCTTACGAAAAAGATTTCTGATATTTTCACATTATTACAGGCAGAATAACTGAAAACAATTTTACAGGGCTTAACTTCCATAATTTCAGGAAGCCCCTAAATACTGTACGAAGCATAAACAGCGGTGCCAAGACCACGAAGCAGATTTCTAACTTTTCGCATTATTACAGGCAGAACCGCCAAAAACAATTTTGCAGGGTAACATACATAAAATTTCAGGAAGACTGAGTAATGTAGGAAGCAGCATAAGAGTATGATTCAACTACATAGTTGGGGTGATCAGCTTCTTCCCAAGTACTGAGGATAAAGAATGCAGGTCATGGCCATCCATAATTGCACATTCTGAATATTCAGGAAAAGACAATTCCACATTCTTACCTTTATATATATACAGTATTTATAGAAACGGTTCTTGGCTGAATGAAGGGACGACTCAAATCAAATACGGAGGAGTAACTTACAGCTGCTGGGATTCTCCCAATGGTTGGGATGGACTCGACAATTTCCATGAGGGCGACTTCAGCAGCCGACTGCTCTGCGGCCTTCCGGGTGAAAAATCCGGGCAGCGAGTCGAACTTGGCGCCGTCGATCAAGACAGCGGACTTGAAGATGGGCTCGTGGCAGGGCCCCTCCTTGAGGGTGTGATACTCCGGAGCCGCGACGCCGAGTTTCTGCGCGTACTCCTGCAGCCAGCTCTTGAAGGCGTCGCATTTCACAGGCCCTGAAGCGGTGAAGCGCACCAAAACTCAGAACTACGGTGGGGAACCAGCAACCTGTAGCAAATGGACACGGGAGCAGAGGAGAGAGTCTTACTGATTCCGCTGGCGTTGGGCGCAAGCGCCGCCGCCGCCATGCCGCCGCCGGCGTTCCGCGTTCGTACCGACCGGGCCGCTGCCCTGGGTACTGGGGGTTTTGTGTGGCGTTTCTTCTCTAGCACCAAGACGTGCGCTGTGGCTTTTTAGTACTTTTTTTTTAAAAAACAGCTTGAACTTTATTAATCTGTTTTTTCAAAGGTACGCCAAAAGCGTACCGTAACTTTATAGAAAAAGAAAAAGTTATACACAAAAGAGATTACATGGTAGATAGATGGCATCAAATGATGCTTCCACCATACCCTCCGTATATCGAAACGTTACCCTACTACCCACACCATGTAGATACTCCGGTGGCTCCTGCTCTGAACCACAATTCTAACTCTTGCCAAATCAGGTCCACGGTTCCACCGACATTCCTTAGTCAGTCCTCCCAAAGACCCTTCCATTGCGTTGCTTCCATATGTTCTAGCAGATCGAAGTGACCACCGAGTCAAAACCCTTCCTCTGCCTCTTCGGGATATGCTTCCTCGTGGTGCTCCACCAGTTGCTGATTGTGGAATGCTGTGTCGGGCAAAGGTCCGGGTTGATTCTCATTCTGCAGAAGCACATGTACCACACCTGCCTCACAAACACACACTGCATAGTGATATGATCCACAGTTTCTTCCTCTTGCTCGCAAAGATAACATGGTGATCTTTGGTCCTGTAAACCATGCCGAAACCGTCTGTCCGCCGCCCAGAGCCTGTATTGCACCGCCAGCCACATGAAAAGCTTGCACACCAACGGAGCCCAACACTTCCATATGGCCGTATAAGCTTGAAACCTGATTGAAACACCCACAATGCGGCTATATCTCCCACGTGTCAGGGCACGACTTAGAGGCATAGCCGCATGGTAGGTTTGTCGCAAAAGGGGTAATCTTCACACATCCCATGTACTGAATAAGAAAGGGATAAAGAGTCGGCTTACAATCGCCACTTCACACAATACATAAATATATCATACATCATCCAGAATACAATCAAGGTCCGACTATAGAACCAAAATAAAGAAAGACAATCTCAAATGCTAGATCCTCGATCTCCCCAACTGGGCTCCACTACTGATCATCCGGAAAAGAAACATAGTAACGGCCCGGATCCTCGTCGAACTCCCACTTGAGTTCGGTAGCGACCCCTGCACTGGCATCATCGGCACCTGCATTTGTTTGGAAGTATCTGTGAGTCACGGGGACTCAACAATCTCACACCCTCGTGATCAAGTCTATGTAAGCTTAAAGGTAGGAAAGGGTAGTGAGGTGGAGCTGCAGCAAGCACTAGCATATATGGTGGCTAACATACGCAAAAGAGCGCGAGAAGAGAAGCAATGCAACGGCTGTGAAGCTAGAAGTGATCAAGAAGTGATCCTGAAACTACTTAGGTTCAAGCATAACCCAAGAACTGTGTTCACTTCCCGGACTCCGCTGGAAAGAGACCGTCTCAGCTACACACGCGGTTGATTCATTTTAATTAAGTTAAGTGTCAAGTTTTCTACAACCGGATATTAACAAATTCCCATCTGCCCATAACCACGGGCACGGCTTTCGAAAGTTCAAACCCTGTAGGGGTGTCCCAACTTAGCCCATCACAAGCTCTCACGGTCAACAAAGGATATTCCTTCTCCCAGGACGACCCGGTCAGGCTCGGAATCCCGGTTATAAGACATTTCGACAATGGTAAAACAAGACCAGCAAAGCCGCCCGAATGTGCCGACAAATCCCGATAGGAGCTGCACATATCTCGTTCTCAGGGCACACCGGATGGGCAAGACGTCGGGTTGGCATAAACCCTGGTTGCCCAGGGGGCGCCGGACATCGCCT